ACAGGGTTGTAGTTACAATTAGAGCTTTATTATTATATAAAATATTTAATTACCAGCATAGCTTATTGTTATCTACAATTTCTAGCATTTAGTGTAGCTTATTGTTGCACAAAGTTTTTATTAGTTATCATACTTTCAGTTAAGGAAAATTTCTCCTAAACTGTGTAGCTTTCTTACTATCTAGAGCCTTTAGCTATCTGGACTTTTGGTCAACTGGACCCTCTGCAGATTGGGTCAAATTCTTAATAATCAGTGCATGACACAATAATCATAATCTGGACTGAGACTTTATCCAAAAGAACATGAGTCACTCCTTCAGTCTTCAGAGGAAGAAGACAGTGGTGGATGTGTCCCAGACCACTGGGGGATCACAGGTTTTGCTGTCCAGCAGCAAGACTTGCAGCTGCTTGATTTTATAGACAATATCTCATGTGCTGTTACACTTCCCTGTTCCGTAACAGATGTCACCACATCCTGGCCACAATACTCGGTGGGCAAATAGTCTTGTCACAATACTGACAGTGGATCTGGTGGTTCCATAACAGAGGTTGTCACATGTTGGTGACAACCACAGTGTCAAAAAGGGGAAGAGAGGAGGTGATATGTGGCCATTTGTTAGAAATAGCGTTGGTTATGCTAACCATATTATCAGCAGTCAGGAGCGGGGCATACTGGTCATATGGCTTCAATGGAAAGCCTCTCATCTTAGTGTAAATGCATCTTCCTAAGCAAAAACCACACATTGTGCTCGAGCGGTTGAAGTGTGTACATATATATATCACTGCCATCTCTGAGAGAGTGTGCTGGTTTTGGCTGGTATAGAGTTAATTTTCTTCATAGTAGCAGTAACTATGATAAAAATCACATTAGCACGGATTGAAAGGGAGTCAAAGACACCTTTGCAACAAAGCTGTCAGGGAGGAAGGCCAAGAAACACCAGTGTGATCCCTTGCCATAGTACTTGCTGTAATGTCAGACAAGTGAGCACCAACATGGTCTTACTGAGGACACTCCAATGTTGTTCTCATCCCATAAAGAATGACTCAAGGCTTATATTGGACACAAATGGTCTTCCAAGCTTATTGCAAGCAGTGCATGGTAATGCATGGTCCTTATGACAATGCATTAATCACAGCCAGTGACAAAATGTCTTCTGGACCAAGCGTTATGTGATCTTTGAGATCTTTGTAAACAATGATCAAAACAAATCACTTACATAAGAACAAGCACTGCATAATGTTCCCTCTGTATCTGAAGCCATCTTGTTCCTCATGCCTCACCTAGGTCTGTCTTTTCACCCACACAGTGGACTAGTCCATTTATAAACTGCTATAATTTGCTTTTCTGACATGAGGTCTTAATAGTACATTTAAGCCCTGATAGCAGTTCATCTATGAGCCACAGCTTCTCTGAGGCTCACAGTGGTCAATGTTTGACCAAATTCTTTCTGTGAGCAATATAATGCTGGATGAGTGCCCCAGCAGTGCCAGCACCGCTAGGTAAGCACATCTTAGCTCACAGCAGAAGCTATTCCTATCTCTGTATTGGAAGAGCCTGCCTACTGTGATTGCAACCTGCTCTCACTGTCTCTGTGACTCTTCACAGCCTGTCAGTTTTTCTATTGACACTTTTCCAGTTCATCACAACCTCTCTCTTTTCTGTAGGCTTGCTTCCATAAGAGTAAAGTGCTTAGGCTGCCTCCAACCCGCAAGTGGTATGTTAACTCCTCCAAAGCGAAGCAGTGTGTTTGAGTCTGTGTCCATGTTCACTTCGTTAGCAGTTCCTTTTTCTCCTTCTTTGGTTTACCTTCACATGTTCACACAGACAGCAATACGGAACTGAACAGGGAAAACAAGTCATGTATAAAATATTCATGAAAGATAAGACAGATACTTTCCCAGTTTGTCAGTTCTGTCTGAGATTCATCTCCTGGCTAATCTGTTACAAAGTCTACTTATGTTCTGCAGGAGACTTAGTTTTTATCCTCGTATGATGCAAGCAATCCATCTATTTGTGTCTGAAGGCTTCATTTAATTGTTACTCTCTTCTAGAGGAAATGCATCCTCTGTTTTACCCAGAAAATTGTTAGTTGCACATTTCTGCTAAAATATTCTCTTCTGTCTTGTCTCATCTTTATGGCTCATGCAGATTTGGAGCTTGTTTATGGAACATATAAGGACTTTTCATTCCAGTATATCTGAGTGATTCTTAGAGTTTTTTCTTTCATTTTCCTTTTTCTAGATAATTTTCTTTTCCATTACTGATATTATTACATTCATGGAAGAATATATTGAGGAAAAAAAAGACAGACAAAGACAGGGTTCTACTAGAGTTTCTTTCTGAAGGAGCAACAGCGAGCAAAGCAGGAAAAAAGGCCTGTAACTTCCAAATAGCATCCCTAAACTATGGATAAGGAGTAAACCAAATTCTAGGCAACAAACCAGTGGTTTTTCTTATGCTTAGGCAACACTGACTGTTCCCTTGACACCAAACGTTGAAAACAGGCACAAACATTGTGCTAGTATGATTCCTAATTAATTGTTTCAAGAAATATTCTCAATATCAAAGATATTGATGATATCTGAGACAATTTAAAGCCCTTCATATTGTACCTTAGAACAGGTTTGCTCAAATAATGTTAGGCGCAGTGAACTACAGCACAAACACATCTTGACCCAATTTAGCAACTAGAGCCATACCGGGAGGCTGGCATGAGATGCTGTTCAGGTGAAGGAAAAATAAAGTTGGGAGTAAAGCCATCTAATCTTAACTTGACTAAAGGCTTGGAAAACTTCCTTTTAATTTCTAATCTGCATTATATAATGATGGAAGAGCTGAAAACTATTGGAAAGTGGGTACAAACTGTTTAACGGATCCATGTCTGTGCACACGGTCTGGCAATGGGGCTGCAAAATAACTGATAACACATTGCATCGTTCTCCAGTGCTGTGCTGGAGCCTCCTGTTCAAACACGTTATCTCTCCTACCTTGTTTGCAAACCAAAGAGTTCAACAATGGTTAATAAATTGGGCACAGAACCATTATATATCATCATCAGGGTGACATACCTCCATGTGCAAAATCATGTTGAAGCCTGTCTCATGTTATCTGTGAATAATAAGATCTGTTGGTTGCTTACCAACAAGGCCTGGCCTTTAAACTTTTTAGGATCATCTGCTATTTCTCACACACTGGTATCTTGAAATTTGGAACAGTTTGGCAGTAAAGGAGAGATCTATATTGATTGTGTTTTAGTAGTAAGAGCAGTTATTCTCTGTGAAAGCACCAGCACACTGTAGGGTCTGGAACAGCAGGTCTGACTTAGCCAGCACCTGTTACAGAAAACTTTACGATCTTGCTTTTGTCCACCACAGAAAGATTCTGTCAAGCAAAGATTTGTTGATGAGAAGAATTAGGAAACGCAGTACAAGCCAGAAGAATTAATAGAATTATAGTAAGACACAGGATATGCTTTTTAGAAGGACATTTAATTCCCTTTTTCCACCTTGCCTATTATACCTCTCACACTCTATTCCCTTTCTCTTCCTGAGGAATTAAAAAAATATGATTTTAATAGAAAATACAATTGTTGGTGGTCACAGCAACTTTTAAGGTAAGTTACAGGTACAGCAGAAAAGTAAAAAAAAACACATCAGATGACTTTGAGATGGTATTTCAACACTCTGATTAAACTAGCATTTTGATACTCCAATCTTAATTTTAGTTTCCATTTTTAATTTCCTTTGAAAGTTATTTACCTTTTGCAAGCCATTTGGATGAAACATTGAAGTTAGATTTGAGTTATCTTTATGTTTACTGGAGACATCTTCAGTTTCTGCATATCTTCCAGCCTTAAAACATATTTTGAATTTTTAACATTTTCAGTCGAATTCAGGGAGAAAGAAAAAATAGGAAAAACCTCCAAACCACTTTTTTTCTTATGGGGTCCCAATTTGTCCAAGCTGTAACCATGGGCACTCAGGAGATGGTTTGTGGTGGAAAACAACTGAGAGCCAGCTGCAACCGACCCTGGGATTTCTTAGTGCTTTCAAGGTTATGGACTGATCATTACAGCAGGCACAACCCAAGAGTGGAAAGTGCAAGTCAGATCACAGAGTAACATCTAGCACAACAAGCGCAATGAAGCCCTCAAGCCTATCTGTGGATTTTAGGTCTTGCTTTTATTTTTAATAGGCTATTTCAGAATTGTAGCAGAGTTATAATTGACTTCATATCATTATAACAGCAAACACAGCCATGACAGTTTTAAAATATATGACAACCAGAACTTTTCCCTCCTTCACAAAAAGGTTGGCTGTAAGACTTCCATGCACTAGAGACCAGTCTGGGAGCAGCAGCTGTCCCAGATCTCCTGCTAGTACCTAGCTATAAACTGTTCAGGACTATGAAATCCTGATAGTATTTTTTAAAACAAACTTGAACTAAATAAAAATGACAGGCAGTTACCTGGATTCATGTAGGAAAGAGAACTTCCCATAAAACTTTTCTTTTAGAATAGGGAAACAAATCTTGAACATTTACTATTGCTTTTAAGTGTGCATATGATGAAAGAGAGAAACTGGAAAAAGTTAGATACAGCATATCTGAGGATATTCATCTCACACGTAAACCTGTTCAGAGCTTGCAGTCACTTGAGTGGTATTTAAACTGTATCTGTGTTTCTTTCCTGAAAATAATGTTTCACAGAAGTAGTTCAAAGCACTTGCTTTTACAGCAACAGCCACAGAGGAAATGTCCCGGCGTGTGTATCACAGACCGAGAGCATGTGATCAGACGCTCACGGTCAGACTTGTTAATGGAGTTCGTGGAAGGAAACACACCCCACTTCACAGTTAACATAGGCAATGGCTGTTTCTCAGTCAGATCATTCTGCCTTTCGGGTAGCTTTTTTTTGCTAAGTATATTTTGGAGGAGGTGTGGGAGGAGGGGGAGATGCTGCTGCTGCATGTTCAATGCAAAGCAGTTGGCTGTGATAGGCTGAGGGGATGTGGATACTCTGCCTATATATGCTGGCAACTGCATCCTCTGCGCTTTATAGCTGTCACAGAGGAGCAAAGAAAGACAGTGAGAAAGAGAGAGGAGAAGGGAAAACCTTACCAACTCACTGTAAGTAACATTCTTTGTCCTTAAAGCTTTGTGGTTATTGAATTCAAGTAGGTATGTTTGGATTAATGCAACAATTGGTTACTATAGAGTGGGATCTCGGCTAACAGACAGCCACCCTGTGTTATTTTAGGGACAATCCAGGATGCTCAAAAAGCATTTATTTTTAACCTAAGTTTGCACAATGTGGTGTGCACCTCTCATATTGTGTTTGCTTGGTTTTATGGATGATGTATGTCAACTATAACTGTTTCTGTATGTTTATGCAGAATCCTATGTTTCCAAAAGTTTATATCTTGTCTTTCCAAGTGCAACAGTTCTGAGCAACCAAGCAGACCTTGAGAAATTCTCTGCCAAATATTTTGAATGATAAAATTTTCAAGATAAATTCAAAGCATTATCTTTTAAGGGCAAGGTTTTCCCCAGAAATAACCCTTTCCCATCACTACAAGACCTCGGAAGGGAAAATCACTAAGTTGCAGACCCTGTGCCAGTGACAGCAATGAATAAAATCAGCAACTTCTAACTGGAAAATGAAATTTTTAAATGAAATGTAGGGCCTGTAACATATATATACCTAACACTTGGCTTGTGCAAAGGTAGAAATACAAAGCAGATCCAGTTCCTTTTTACTCATGCTGAAATAAAATTAATCCTGACATCCTTATTGAGGCAGTACTCCTGTTGCAATAGTAGGAGTTTAGCTTAACAGTAGCAACAGCTGCAAAAACCTTCACCTTTTTGGTTTAAATAGCAGAAAGTCCTCATGGCTTCAATGGTGTCACTGTAGCACCACAAGCCTTTAAATTACATTATATTCTGCAACAATCAGTGGCAGAATAGAAAGTGCACTTGTCTCATCTATTGGAAAGATATACAGTTATTACTTTTTTTGAGCCAATGCAGCTATCATTTAAGGTGCTATTAATGCATCTATGCATTCTTCCTTTCTGTATTTAATAACAGGAGCTGCTAAAAGATTTTATTATGTTAGCTGTTTTTTATTTTACTTTGATGAACTGGAGAACAGGCACTCATAAAATTATAATATGTCAACTATACCGCTCACCTCATTTGTTCTCTTTTGCATCTTTTTCCTCTTTCATCCTTTTTTCCTCTTTTTTCTCTTTTTATTCCTCATAAATTTCATGGTAGTATTTAGATATCTTTTACCTTTATATTTAATTAATGCAAAAAACAGATTCTAAAATTATAAATAATACTTTTAAAGAGAAATATTGAATAAGCTGAATGTTATCTACATAATAATATATCTATAAATGTATTTAATACCTAATTGTATGCAAACTGCTCATTTGTATGGTTTAGTTTCATAGAAAATGGTTATCAAATTAACATTATATTGAATCTACAATCTAAAGATTAACAACAGTTTTTGGTAACTTCACTAAAAGAAAATGTTGCCGTGTTCTAATTTCAGTGCGTTGAGGTGGAAGGAGTAGTTTAAACAAAGCAGTGAAGGATGTCAACTTTAGATTGTGTAGCATACTTGTGACAAATTCCAGCAAAATTAAAGAGCAAAGAGCTTATATATGATTATTATTGATAATAATTATAATTATATATTAATAATAACAATAGATACATTCATAACTTTTAAGGTTTAACATGATTGTTCTTGTTTTTACCTGAAGTTAAGAGCAAAACTCAATCATCTTCCCCAGTAAGTAGAACTTGATCTGAAGAAGTGTGCAGTAGTGACAATATCCATTGATTCTTGCTGGGAATAAAAGCGCTCAGACATAATGTAGTGAAGCTGTTAATGAATTTGAATACAGACTGTGCTTACAAAGTGGTAGAAGCTGATAACTAGGCATGGTGCCTCCTGAGAAAGTGTGCTCTCCTCACTTGGAGTTCAGCTGGCAGATATCAAATATGCTGAAATTCATCCCGGGAGGTGTGGGATCTCTGGAGCCTTTATCGCTCTTTGTGGGCCTTCAAGAAAATAGACCACTATTAAATACTTTGGAGAGAGGCTCAGTTTCTCTGAAATTTCCATTTAGTTTCGGAAACTCAGCCTGTATTATTTTGCAGTTTAAGTCTCTTTGACTCAAGTGGATATTTCAAGTACACACAGATTGTAACGCTCAGCCCTTCAGAAAATATGGATGGTCTCAAACAGTGTTTTCATTCTAGATCCTAAGGGATGAGTTGTCTGAGATATTTTGCTTCTTAGACAATCACCTTCTATATTTTTAAAAAATACTGGCATAGAGGGAAGGTGTCTCTCTATGCATTGTGTTGTTGCATTGTACATGGGTTGTACATGCATGTGAGAGGTAGAAGAGAGAAATATTCTGTACTGGTAGAGACATAAAGTAATTTGCATTTTTATAGTACTAACTGGTAAGCATTACAATTGTCAGATATTCAGTCTCCTGGATGTGGCTTCCATAGCAAGTAATACTTTCAAGTAGATGAAGTGAGATTAATAATAAATGGTTGAGGAAGAGAATAAAAATAGGGATGAGAGTGTAAGTGGGTCTTGTCACTCACAGAACAGATGATACAAAATAGGAGGTGAAAAGGAAAATTTAAATGACCACTGTGTTCCTGCAAGGAGTATGCCTTCACAGTTCCCGGTGAGATATGGGTATTACAGTAGATTATAAGAAAATTTCAGGCAAGGACTTTTAGGAGAGAAGATGCATGGATACATAAAAATACATAGATGTTTAGATAGATTTTAATTTCTCAGTATTTTCTTTGGGGAAAAAAGAATGAAATACTTTGCTTCAGGTTGAAGCAGATTAATGTATTTCACTGGATCAAATTGAACTCAAAGTTCATTAGAGGTTAACTAGATACTAGTTTATATCAATTTATAACACTGCAGCAAGTATGGCAAATTTGGGATGGATGGTTCACCCTACCATTCTTTATGCTTAAGCTTCCTGGTTCAATTACTTCTCACATGCAAAACAGTGGATTTCCCCTGTAATTTAATTCTTTATCCTGAATTTTGAGAATGCTATTATGACAGTGATTTATGCAGAAGTAGTGCAGGCAAAACAATGTTAGGATGAGCCAGCAGACCTCCAGGTTTTAGGAAGAACAATAGTTAGCAAACAACAAGTAAAATCTGATTATCTAAAGTGTGTATTTTGTCAAAATGAGGTGATAAATTTCAGTTCTATGGTCATAGGCTGAAACCGCAGAATGTGTATCTGATGTTTAGATCTGAATTTTATTTGCTTATCCTGATATCCAAAAAGAACTTTGTCCAAACTGCTAATAATAAAAATGACAATAAATTATATCAGCATACTACATAAGAACAAGATGATGCAAATATTACTCGGAATAGAAAGAAATTTCAGATCCAAAAAAACCTAGGTGGTAGAAAAATGGTCACAAGCCATACAACATAGTATGTATGTTGTGGTAATATGATAAAGTAAATTTATTTTTGTCTGTGAGCTGTTTTGAGCTTACACACGATGCTATTTAATTTATGCCATTTGATTTATATTTTGGGAAAAGACCAAGTAATCCACAGAAGCTTCTATATTAAATGGTGCCCTATATTTGATTGATACAAAGTAAGGCTAAAGAGTAGTATAGTGATACTCTTACCTGTTCTGACATCATACTGACAGTTCATTGGATCCACAGACACTGAATGAGATCCTCAGCTGAACTGATCTGTGTGTAAAAGTCCATAGGAATAATTGTAAGTAAGTCAGTGGTGACAAACAGTAATGCTAGAAACACCAAATCCTCAAATTCTGAGTCAGTTCAGTCTCAGACAACTCTCACTAATTTAGAAGTCATGGGTTAAATTCCTATCTTCACAGCTTTCATCTCTGAAACTAGAGAAAAAAATAACAGATTACCACATGCAAGTTCTTTAGAGCATGCTATAGCAATGAACTTATGAGTGAAGTAGCATAAAAGAAATAATGACAGCATAAGTTAAGTTAGAGATACTTTGAAAAAGAAGTGAAACAGTATAATGTTTAGATATCTTCTGGCAAAAATATCTAGCCCAAAGAATTGAACCTTGGGGTGTAATTAGATTGCTGCCACAGAGATGCATATAGATTGCTGCAGTTCATGCTGACTTATTTAGAAAGTTTATTAAAGATCAAAGTTTATTAAATGATCAAAGATACATTAAATGAAAATGCACATAAGATTTGGGGGTATTGAAGAAATGGAATCATCCTGATTGTAAAGGAGTGGAAACAAAGCTGCTTGCTTAAATACAGTCTTTCAAAGGGGAGATGACACACAAAACTGCCCACCAGAATCCTCTGAGGACCGTAATGACTACTGGTAATGTGTTTCCGGCAACTTAGTAGCAAGATCTGAGAAAGGTCCTAATTCCCCTTTCAGAAAGGCAAAGAGCGAGCCAAATGAACACTTATGTGATGGTTAAAGAGAGTAATATAACTCTAACAAAATAGCAACAAGAACAGCTAGTCTCTAGGGGGCTAGAAGTCCCTACTGTGCAGATCCTTGCTTTCCCAAGTGGTTCATAACCTACAGCAGCACCCTGCTTTCTTAAATAGCAGCAGCAGCTGCTCCACACAAATCCCAGATCCTCTATTTGTAGCAGCAGAGATGTCTCCAGGACGATGTTTATCAATGATGTCTTTCTTTTGTAATGTGACAGTACTAATTCAAATATAATAAAGCCCAGAAGGGTCTCTCTTTTCTCAAAATTATGTCCTCAGATATGAATCCTTAGCACAAATAACTGATATCTAAGAAATTGCCTCTTAATTACATAATATTTGCATGGTGCTTAATATAATTATTTCCATATGAAGTGAAGATTTGAAGGTATGCAAACTAAGCATAGTAATTCTTTACACCAGCAGTGAGTATCCTTGTTTTACTTGCCAATTTTCTTACTAGATCCCAAAGAACAGTGTCATTCACTCGATCTGAGTGCATAAAGACTCTTGGACGCTTTTTAGGTACTGTGGTCTCAACCTTGTATTCACTGAGCACACAAAATGCACAACCACATTCAGTACAAAAGTTGGGCAGGCCAGGATGGCAGGAGCAGGCACTCTAGCAATATGAATTTAAGTTTGCACAGCACTTTGCAGGCAAACCCCAGCTCATGTTAGCCGAGCCATACATTGCCCTGGGTGTGCTCACACAGCCTCTGCCTAGCTCAAAGCACACCTAGACCTCCAGACCAACATCTTCGAAGCAGGGACAGCCCCAGACAGACCTTCCTTGTATCCTCTTGAAAAATACAATACAGATCTACTCTAAGTGAATTCTAATTGAAACCTTGGTAAGAAATAAGGTTTTGTAAATGGCACAGCATGTGCATTTACAGTAAGAGTAAAGAAGCTACATCTTGAGGCAAGACAGGAGGCAAGAAGTAGATAAAATGACAGGGCAGCACAGTGGATCACTGTGATCACTGTGATCATTACAGCTTGTTATTACAGATTATAATAGAGATGCACAGCATGCTATTTCCTTAGACCTCTTCTTTATAAGGCAGGAGAGAATTGATTATGTACTACATGACAGTGACATGTCCTTGTGGCAACCAGTAGAGATTAAATCTGCGATTTCTGAATCTTCATCGATGTGCTTCTACTGCTCTTATGTGCTAAAGACACAGCCTATCTGTATTAATCTAATCTACATCATGACCTAGACATCAAAGATTTAACAGTGTGATTTACTTCTATACAATGTCCAGCTAATATTGGAGTGGAGCAGAATGCAACAGTGTGTGGGCATTGGCCTACTATGCAGAAATAAAAGAGCGTCTGGTCTTTTCAAAAAGGCCGTATGAGTCATCCTATAAATAATCTGAATAACAGGTTTAAAACTAGTAATATATTCTTTCAAAAGTGACTTCTTTCTTTCTTTTTTTTTTTTTTTTTTTTTTTTAGGATTTTTCTGATAATAAGTCTTAAACACTGATACCCATGGATGCTGCAGAGTTCCGCAAGAGAGGGAAGGAGATGGTGGACTATATTGCAGATTACCTGGAGAAGATAGATAAAAGACAGGTCTTCCCAGATGTGGAACCAGGATATCTAAGGCCCCTCATTCCAGACTGTGCACCCCAAGATCCTGAGAGCTTTGAGGATGTCTTTAAAGACATTGAGAAGATCATTATGCCAGGGGTAAGAAAAATGGATCTGTAGTGTAATGTTCAATACTGCATTTAGGTTTTCAAAGACTTTAAGGAAAATGTGAATTGAAGTCTGTGCAGCTAGATCTTACGAACATAAGTACCCACACTGATTAGCTTTTAGAAGGCAGGAGTCTGCTTTACATCCATAGTTAAATACAATCATCTAACATGTTACACAACTAATGTTTTCTGTTCTTGCTAGAAATAATCAGATCATTCTTTTGCTTCACAAAAGGCTTGCTTTTGGAAATAATCTCCTTTCCTCCCTTGAACTGGCTAAGGCAAAGCTTCATAACTTTCAAGTTCATGTGATATTTTTGCTACTTGCAAAGCATAGTAAATATTTTATAAAATGGGATTTTTATTACTCTGCTGTGCTTAAAGTGTTCCTTCCAGCTGATCTTTAAATGTTAAAATTCTCTTAGGAGATTTCTTTTTATTACAGAGTTGACTAGAAAAGATTCTCCCCAATACTGGTTCTGTTGACTTACTCTCCTAAATGTCAGCTTCTTCTAGTACCTTTTAAGGCAGATGGCTACTACTTAAATATTAGTTCTTGGATAGATCAGTGTTGGACAAACAATGCAAAACAAAGCATCTGGCATTTTCCAGTTCTAAATCTTTCTTGTTTTTCCACTCATGGTATACCTTTTTAATTTTAAATATATGGTTGTCTCCTAAGGCTTGTAAGTAGCTTGAAGATTATTAGTAAATGTCAATGAGGAATCTCTCCTTTGGGTCTTTGCAATACCACTTTGGGTTGCTTCTCTGGATGTAGCTAGGCGATACGATTGTTATGTGACTGGACATGGAACCACTGCTCTGCAAATGTGTTTAGACAGTGTACTATAATACCAATTCTTTTTCATTGACCAATGTAAATATTTGATATTCAATCTGGCCTTATCTTGTTTCCCTTGGAGCCAACCCTGCTGTCCTTTCACAGGCAAAAGCTCCACTGAAGTCAACGGAAATCTCTCCACTCTTCTCAAAGATTTGTGGATGATGTCTTAAATCCAATAGAATTAAATCGGTGCAGATTAGATAAGATAATTATGTCCAACGTATGCAAATACTTTCATTGCTGCTCATAGATACAATTACCTTTCCGTTCTCATTGGAGGAAAACATTAACCAATTTTTTTCATCTGTGAAGTAGAACAGAAAACACTTGGGAACATTCAACAAAATAATATACTATTAAAAAATTAGAGATGAATCATTTGAGAATAGAAAGTAAGACACTCAATTTCAATTAAGTCATCAACATGTCATGATTCCTCTTAGCTAAATTGATTTTTTTCTTGATATTTACATGCCCTGCAAATAAATTTACTTTTACAAAGTGATACATTCTGAAGAAGAAATGTTCTATCCAAAATTGTCCTCTAGTGTTGTGACACAAAGAGCACAAGTACATAAATCCCAGTTCTTATAGTAACTCTGATTCTGCCTGTGTTGTTTATACTAAATACTGAAGACTCACATGAGCACATCACAGTCATAGTATAGTAGAAGTTGGATGGCACCTCTAGAGATTATTTAGTCCACCTCCACTGCTCAAAGCGGAGTCAGAGCAGGTTGCTCATAACCATGTCCAATTGGGTGTTGAATATCTCCAAGGATGATATCTTCACAATCTCTCTGTTGTCCTGTTCCAAAGTTTGACCACCTTCACAGTAAAAAAGCTTTTTCTTATGTTTAAGTGGAATTTTCTGTATTTCAATTTTTACACATTTCTTCCTGTCTTTTCACTGGATACCACTGAGAAGAAGCTAGTTTAAACTCCTTTACACCCTCCTGTGAAGTGTTTGTACACAAGATACCCCCTGAGCTTTCTGCAGGCTGAACAGTCCCAGTTCTCTCAGCCTCTCATTGTATGACAGATGCTCCAATCCATCAGTCATCTCCACAGCCCTTCACTGCAATCACTCCAATATGTCCATGTCTTTCTTGTACTGGAGAACCCAGAACTGGACACAGCATTCCAGGTGTGGCCTCACTAGTGCTGAGTAGAAGGGAAGGATCAGCTCTTTTGACCTGCTGGCAACAGTTTTCATAATGTGGCCCAGGATGCTGTTGGCCTTGTTTGCTGTAAGGGCACATTGCTGGCTTATGTTCAGCTTGTACACCATGACCCCCAGGTCCATTTCTGCAGAGCTGCTTCCAGCCAGTCAGTCCCTGGCCTGTACTGGTGCAGGGGGTTATTCCTCCACAGGTACAGGACTTTGTATTTCTCTGTTGAAGTTCATGAGATTCCTGTTGGCTCATTTCTGCAGCCTGTTGAGGTCCCTTTGAATTGCAGCATGACCATACAGTATATCAAACACTCCTCCCAATTTTAAATCATTTGCAAAACTGCTGAGAGTGCACTCTGTCCCATTAACCTCTGTCCAGGTCATTAATGGAGATGTTAAACAATACTGGCCATGGTATTTATTCCTGGGGTACACTGCTGGCCTCCAGCTGGACTTTATGCCACTAATCACAACCCTATGAGTCTGGCAATTTAGCCAGTTTTCACTCCACTTCACTGTCCATTTATCTAGTCCATATTTCATCATTGTGTCAGTAAGGATGTTATGGGAGACAGTATTGAAAATCTTAGTGATATCCTGTGCTCTGCCCTTGTCCCTCAAGCCAGACATCTTATAGAAGGCTGTCAGGTTGCTTAGGCATGATTTCCCCTTCATAAATCTTTGCTGCCTAGCGCAAATTGCCTTCTTGTCCTTAATATGTTTGAAAATAGCTTCAAGGTTCTGTCATCTTCCCTGGGAATGAGGTGAGGCCTGTAATTTCCCAGATCCTCCTTCTAGCCCTTCTTGAAGATAAGAGTGACATTTCCTTTTTCCCAGTCCTCAGGAACATTCCCTATTTGCCATAACCTTTCAAAGATATTTGAGAGGGATCTCAATGACATTGTCTAGCTCCTGCAGCATTTGTGAGTGCATCTCATTAGGCTCCATTGACTCATGTATGTCCAGTTAATTTAAATGTTTCCTAACCTGATCCTCCTCCAGGTGAGATCTTCCTTCCTCAAGGCTTTCCCATATGTCTCAGAAGCCTGGAATTCCTGAAGGGAAATTCACCAGTAAAGACTGAGGTGAAAAAGACATTGAGCACCTCAGCCTTTTCCCTGTCCTTTGTCATCAAGTCCCCAAGCCCATTTGACAGCAGGCCTACATTTACCTTACTTTCCTTTCAATGCTGATGAACCTGCAGAAGTCTTTCTTCTTGCCCTTCACATCCCTCACCAGATTCAACTCTAGATGGCTTTAGCTTTCCTAAATCTGTCCCAACATACTCAGACAGTGTCTTTATAGCCCTTCTCTCCTGGGTCACTTTACCCTCCTTACTTTTCTTATATGCTTCCTTTTTACATTTGAGTATTTTCAGGAGATAATTGTTGATCTGTGAAGGCTTCCTGCCACTCTTGCTTGACTTCTTACATGTGGGGTGGACCATTGTTGAATTTGGAGGACGTGATCCTTGAAAATCAACCAGTTCTCCTGGACCACTCTTCTCTCTATGTCTGTCTCCTATGGGATTCTTCCAAGCAGGTCCCATAATAGGCCAAATTCCACTCTCTTGAAGCCTAAGGTTATGGTCCTGCTTTGTGCCTTTCTTCCTGCTCTTGTGATCCTGAACTCCACCATCTCACAGTGACTGCAGTCAAGACTGCCTCTGGCTTTCAGAACCCTGACCAGTTCTTTCTTGTTTAGAATAGAATAGAATCATAGAATCGTTTTGGTTGGAAAAGACCTTTATGACCATCGAGTCCAACCATTAACCTAGCACTGCCAAGTCCAACCACTAAACCATGTTCCTAAGCACCACATCTATGTGTCTTAATGCTTGATAACCCTTTCAGTGAAGAAATTTTTCCTAATATAAGTAAGTTTGTTAGTATCTGGTCCCACAGTGTCTCTCCTCATCAGTTCCTCCATCACCTGTGTTAGGAAATCATCATCAATGCACTCCAGAAATCTCCTGGACTGGTTGTGCCCTGCTGTGTTGTATGTCCAGCAGATATCAGCTTGGTTGGAGTCCCCTGTGAGGACTATGACCTGTGAACATGAGGTTTCTTCCAGCTGTCTGAATGCTATACTCATGTACTTCTTCCTGATCAGGTGGTCTGTAGCAGACACCCACCTGAATGTTGCTCATCTTGAAATCTCCACCAGTCCTATTCATAAGCTCTTGACTGGCTAATTGTCCATCCCTAGTCAGAGCCCCACGCATTCC